CTGTATACATTTGTCAGGTTTTATGACCTAGACCTTTCCACTCCCGGGGCTAGGTTGCTCGCTTCTTAGTGTGCGCATTGGACTTCACACAGAACGGGCATTTCTCACCATGGCATAGTGGGTATGGGGTTCCCATCGCGTTTGACAACGCAGCTCGAAGTTCCCTTGAAAGGGAACGTCTCAGGTTACGTATGTAACCCTGGTTCCCTGAGAGGGAACGAGAGCTGCGTTCGCCTGCCATACTTCCTGCATGCCCTGATCGACTTGCTTCAGGCCTTTCACAGAAGCTGTCGCGGTCTGATCTCAAGGGTGCTTTATAGTTTCCTGGTCAGTGACGTCACCTGACGTCCTACTCTCTCATTGGACTGATTGTACAGACACTTCACGACGCAATCACGCAGAGCGTTCCCATCGCGTTTGACAACGCAGCTCTCGTTCCCTCTCAGGGAACCAGGGTTACATACGTAACCTGAGACGTTTTCCTGTTTTAAGATACATTTCATCTAAAAAAAACTCTTCTTTATTTTCAATCTCATAATGTTCAGCAGTAAATATTTAACTGGCAACACAAAGCACAAATAAAACCACCTTATTTTAAAAGCGCCTCTTTATTCAGCAGAGATATGAGCTGAATTTATTCATTGAAAACTCAAACATGCCTTTCTCTTAATATTTTTATTTGTTTTGTACTCTTTCTTTTTAAACAAAACACTAACAATACCAATTCCTCGGAACTGGAAATCGCAGTCACACTAGATTTGGCATGAGCCCAAATGCGAGTCGTCTCCGTGCCTCGGCAACAGAGAGACCCACGCGGGGACCGCGAACCGAACCGTCCTCCTCGGAGAACGCCCGGCGGGAGCGGAGCGTCCTCGCGGACAGCTTCTCGCAATGCCCACATTCAGCTCCCTCGAGAACTCACTGCTGGCATGCTCCACTCCCAAACAGCAAAAAATAGCTGATGTGTGTCCCCGCCCGTAATGTAACGAGGGCAGGGAACAACACAACGTCTATAATCTTGCTTGCTTGCCATTAATCTAAATAGTGATATATATTGGGCTTTGACAAACAACAATAAATAGACAAGGACAGAGTACAGAGATCGGTTGCTGAAGGCAAAAGAAGCTGTCGCGGTCTGATTTCAAGGGTGCTTTATAGTTTCCTGGTCTATGACGTCACATGACGTCCTGGACTGATTGTACAGAGGCTTCACGACACAATCACACAGAGCGTTCCCCATCGTGTAAGCTAATGCAGCTCGAAGTTCCCTTGAAAGGGAACCGGAATTTAAAGTCACCATTATGGAGATGAGTGTTTGTTTAATTGGGCTCTTGACCCCCACATTATTAACTTTATATTTTGTCTGGCTGCTTTGCCTGAGCTATAACAGCCAGATATTCAACTATAAAATGTGATCTGTAGATGTTGGTTGTGTTTTAACATTATCATTATATCACAAACATTTGACTTGCATCACTGAACTCATACAGAAGCAAATTTCTGAGATAAGTTTATCTTATGGATTATAGCAGCACTGCCATTGTAGAGCATTCAATTTTTTAGCCCTTTCAAAGAAATCCAAATGAAAAAGTAAAAAAAAAAAACAAAAAAAAACTTCTTCTTCTATGAAACAATATGAATGTAAGCCAGAGGAGAACTGGCCCTCGACTGAGCCTGGGTTCTCCCAAGGTTTTTTTTTTCCATTCAATCTAATGGAGATTTGGTTCCTTGCCACTGTCGCCTTGCTTTTGGCTTGCTTAGTCTGAGTTTTTTAATATTTAATATTTAACAATATTATTGATCTGTGTTGTACTACTTTCATGTTATCACTGTGAAGCTGCTTTGATACAATCTGTATTGTAGTGATGTTACGTATGACACTGAAGCTTCGATGCGCGTATCACATATGCGACACAATTTCTAGTGAAGCCCCGTATCGGGGTGTGTATTGGTTTTCCCAGAGTCACGTGATCGATGACAAATGAAGCCTCACTTTCTGTCCGATCACGTGCGAGTTTCGCTTTGGGTGTCAGAAGGCTCGAACTTTAACGAGTCAATGCTGCCTCAGTCTGGTTGATGGGTGTTTGAGGAGAGTGCTGTACTTTGAAAGTTAATAAATGTAATTAATTAAATAACCAAAATTTATTTTTCACCTCTTAGTCTTTTTTTTTTGTTTTGTCTTTTTGTTTTTGTAAAATCTTTGCACTTTGGTGGATTTAAGGTTATTTGGTGTTGGTATTTGGGTTTAAGGTGGGATTAGGAGCGAGGGGATAGGGTGTTGGTGTACGGAGTTTGTATTAGAGCAATGGCAACAGCCAAAAAAGGGTTATAGAGTTGTGTGTGTGTACTACAGAGAGAGAGAGAGGGAAAGGGAGAGAGAGAGAGTAGGCCTACATTAAATCTTATTGAATAATATAAGCTTATATTATATTTTATTGTCACACTTTAATGGGAAAATGAATTTATCAAATGAACAAATCAAACACAAACATGTAATGTTTTTATTTGTAGACATAACATTGAAACTCTGTAGTGTGTTGTGGTTGCTTCATCTGCCACAGCTTCTGGCTGCTTTATTTTAAATAAGCACCAGATGGCGCTGTTCTCGACACTCTCGAAGCTTTGAATCTTTTCCCGGAACAGTCAGGGGAAAGCCTCATTGCTTCATTTCCCCATTCCTACTGTATTGTGAAAAGCGCTATATAAATAAATGTGACTTGACTTGACTTGAGTTGACTTCATAAAAAAAAACGTTTGTATGCATGCACACACAGACATCAATATTTAGCGTATGAATCTCAGCAGTGGCGACAAACAGATCACCTCTGAACATAAGCTCATTATTTATTCATGCAGCAATGAATGAATTTTGTCCATGAATCCATGAATGAATTTTGATTGGTGGCACCCAGAATGCACTGCAACATGCTTTATAATAGTCACCACTGTTGAGATTCAGAGGCAGATTCTTGATGTCTGTGTGTGCCTACATAAACTAATTTGTTTTTTAGAAGTTTCTTTTTTATTGATTTGATCATTTGAATTCCATTGGAAAGGCTAAAAATTGTATGCTCTACAACAGCAGTATTGCTATAATCTATAAGGTAAACTTAACAGTGGCTCAGTTGGTGGTTCAATGCCCAGTTCCACCTGACCAAGTGTCAAATTTCAACATGTAATGATTATGTTAAAACACAACCAACAGCATCAGATCACCTTTTCTATATGATCATCTGGCTTTTATACCTCACGTATAGCCAAACATAATCTAAAGTTACTAATGTGGGTGTAAAGAGCCTAACCAAAACAAAATCTCATCTCCATAATAGTGACCTGAAATTCCGGTTTTCTCCTTCAGTGATTCTGCTTGTTAATATCAGGTGTCTTCAATAATGCTCAATCATCACTCAATTATTCACTTAATTGTCTCATTAACTTTAACACTGCTTCAGTGTTCATTTAACACTCAGCTCAGAGTTTAATTGGATGGCTTAAAATGACTTCCATGATGTTGAAGTTACATGAACAAATTATGTTTGTTTAACGAAACCGAGTTATGTGGAACCGGTGGTTAAGTAAAAGTTAAGTAAAGCCAACACATCATTTTTTGAGTGTAATTTAGATATTTTGTTGTAAATTGAAAAAGTAATGCTTTCCTTTATGCTTTCCTTTATTTCCTTTATCCTTTATACCATTTACTTGAAAAAATAATCTGAATATGTAACTTAAGTAAATTGTAATGAGTTACCCCAACACTGCTCACAAATATAGTCAAAGACACACACGCACACACAAGAGGGTCCACCAATTATTATTATTGTAAACTAATTTTATAAAGACATGAAACCGAAAAGGAAGTACTAAGTTAACTTCAGCTTAATTTAATCACACATCCTTCATGTAGTTAGGTAAAGCCTTAAAGGATTAGTTCACTTTTGAAAAAACTTTTGCTGATAAATTACTCACCCCCATGTCATCCAAGATGTCCATGTCTTTCTTTCCTCAGTCGAAAAGAAATTAAGGTTTTTGATGAAAACATTCCAGGATTTTTCTCCTTATAATGGACTTCAATGGGAACCAGGTCCAACCGAGGTCCAAAAGACAGTTAATAACAGTTTCAGATGCAGCTTCAAATGTTTTTAAACGACACCAAACGATGAATAAGGGTCTTATCATGCGAAACGATCAGTTATTTCAAAGCTTATTCCAAAAATGTAACTTTTCTAAGGACAAATGCTAGCCTTGTAATATATTGTGAGGCGCGTTTGCAACGTCACGTAATACGTAATTACGTTCAAAAGGTCACGGGCGACGTAGCCGGAAGTACAGAATCAAAATCGTCCGACATCGTTGTTTTACCTTTTAATTCCTTTTTTGTAAACGGCGTTTGAGTTAGTTTGCACGTTCAACCTATGCGTTCAACTTGTAAACACTCTGACTCTGTACTTCTGGCTACGTCGCCCGTGACCTTTTGCAAACGCGCCTCACAGAATGGAGAAAGGCTAGCATTTGTCCTTAGAAAAGTTACATTTTTGGAATAAGCTTTGAAATAAGCGATCGTTTCGCATGATAAGACCCTTATTCATCGTCTGGTGTCGTTTAAAGACATTTGAAGCTGCATCTGTAACTGTTATAACTGTCGTTTGGACCTCGGTTGGACCGTCTGGTTCCCATGGAAGTCCATTATAAGGAGAAAAATCCTGGAATGTTTTCATCAAAAACCTTAATTTCTTTTCGACTGAGGAAAGAAAGACATGGACATCTTGGATGAAATGGGGATGAGTAAATTATCAGCAAAAGTTTTTTCAAAAGTGAACTAATCCTTTAAATGTAGCAATGCATTTATGTGTTAATGGCAAAAATAAATAAATAAATAATAACAGTAATCACTATTGCCCTTTACATAAACTAAGTTTTACTTTGGTTGTTTTTATCTCCTGTCTACTTTGTCACAGAACATGTTTACACACAAGTTACTTAAAGAGTGTTGTTTGTCTTACCTGAAGCCATGTTCCTGTTTCTTTGGTTCAGGAGCAGTAAGAAACCCCAGATGTGGACAACTAAAACCTTCATCCTGGTCTATGTGTCTAACTCAACTCACTTTGTTGTCACTTCACCGTGTGCAGTAGTATGAGATGGTGTGTGCGTGTGAGAGAGTTTTTATATAGGTGGAGACTGCATAGAGCTACCCAATATGCAATGATTTGGAATGCTGTGGTGAAAATTATGCAAATGTATCATTCAAATAATGCCAAATATTTCTCAGAGTAATTTACAGAATTTCTAGATAAAATAAATAAGAGGGCCTTAACAAGGTTTTGACCTGTGGTGCGTTTGCGCCGTTCCATCGAATGCTACACTCTGGAAAATAATGTATAATATAATAAATTAATTAATTAATTTAAAATAAGAAAATTAGACTCTCTAAAGCAGACATTGGGTCTGAAATAAAAGGCAAGAATGGCTATTTATTTGACTTTACTCTGTTACATAAAACCTTAAATATGTAATGTCATAATTATAATGTTTTGAGAGTTTACTTGTGTAATTGTTGTATTAGGCTATGAATTAATACTGCTGTTCAAATAGTGTCTCCAGCTACTACATCATTATCAAAGGGAAGCGGTGAAGAAGATCTCACTGGTTCTGTGAGTCTATGGTTGGAGTTGAGATTGACTTCTGCCAAATATATGTTTTTCTTTCTTTTCAAATAAAATTACCATATATATTTAGAGGGAAATGTATACACATACAATATATAAATAAAATGGTACACAACCTGAAAGAAACCGAATTAAACTTCAACAGAGCTTGATAAATATAAAAAAAAATCTACCCCAAAATATTATACGTCAAACGTTGTGTTGTCATAAATATACGACAACACTTAAGCCGTTTCTCAATACCAAGTACGCAAGTACTTCGGATTTGCGTCCTTGGTAGTTCAGACTTGTTCGACTCAGGAGAACGAACTCCAGAGGACGTAAGTCTGGTTCTTCTGCAAATGGAACAGTGGCGTTCTCGATCACGTCACTCAAATCTGTGAGATATATATATATACTATACTTTTTATTATAGAACATTATCTTCACTATATGTACAATAAACAGCGTACATATAGTACACTATTTATTGTGAAGATAAGCCTAAACTATAGGCTAGATATTATTGATCATTAAAACTGACATTTAATAAAAAGAGACAGAGTTGTGTCATTTTATTTTATATACAGGTTTAGAAGCTACAATGAGAAATAAGGCAAACAATTCAAGCATAAGTAAGCTCTCTAATGGGGTACAAAGTTAAAGTTTAAAAGCCTAAATATATAAAGTTATGAAACTTCACTTTGCCCTCAGCCAAAACGATTTTTTTTTGCCATGGAACAAACTATAGACCAAAAATAGACTTCTACACAAGACGAATTATAAGTCAAGTTTATCCACTAGACTAGAGACTTCAAAGTCAGCGGCAAATGTCAGAAGCACTAGCCGAGGATAAGCTGTTCCAGTCGAGGTTGATCTCGCTGAGCGACCGGTGAACGCTTGGAACTCCAAAAACGTCAGATACATTTTTAAAATAGGCTCGAGCTGTTTGTGCGACTAAATCCATCCAGCAGCATTTTTAATGTTGATCATATTATAGGAGCAAGAATGCAATGTTTTCTGAATATCCACTCGATTTAAAATGTGACACTGATTTTATACAACAGTTCAACAAACAAAAGGGTAACAATAAGTGATGTTCTACATTTGTGAACGAATCTGTGGCTCTTAACGAATCGTGAGATCCGTTCACAAATACAGAAACTTGCTTCGTTACTGAATGAATGAATGACTCAATGACTCACTTAGAGCATTTTTATATAATTGTATTTATAAAGGTAAAAAAATTAACTGGGAAAAATCAATTAAAGGGGAAAATATTGTCCCTTAATGGAAAGGTGTGACTGGAGAAAAATTGGAGAACCACTGAAATAAGGAAAACATTTTATCATACTTATTTCAAAGTTAAGGATTAATTATTTTGATATGTGCATTGCATTAGCTTGCATTGGATAACAGTTGATTAGTTTATTTTAGAGGGTTAACTGTACACATCTATTTTTTTTTCACAGTAAATTCCCCGGTGTTAAATTTAACACCGCTCGGTGTTTATATGGGAACCACCAGCAGGGTGTTAAAAGTAACACTGATACAGTGTTAAAGTTAATGAGATAATTAAGTGAATAATTGAGTGATGATTGAGCATTATTGAAGACACCTGATGTTAACAAGCAGAATCGCTGAAGGACAAAATCACAAATTGTAAGCCACCGTTATGGAGATCAGTGTTTGCTTTAGTTGGGCTCTTGACACTTATACTTTCACTTTAACTTTGTTTGTCTGCTTTTATTAATTTATAACAGTCAAATGAACAAAGAAAACTGTGATCTGATATTGTTGGTTATGTTTTGACATAATCATGCTGTGATCTGAAAAATCTAACTTTTCAGATGAATTGGCTTAACTTGTTAGTAACAGTTTAGTGATTGTGCAGCACATTTTTCTTTTAACCGAAAATATTTAATAACAACTATTCTGATCAAATCACTTTCAACTTTATTTAGAAACACAGACATAAATAGTCAGCCTGTGTATCTCAACCATGGTGACATTAATAATCATTGTTTCCACCAATCACAACTCATTAATGGCTCCCATCATGCATTGCGGTATGAATAAATTATGATCTGAATTGTCTATGTAATTTACTTTTCCTAATTGAATATTCTGCTCGTCACCATTGTTGAGAAGCATTGACTGAATTTTGAGGTTTATGTGTGCCTATAAGAAGTTTTTTTTTTTTTTAACAACTTGTAGAAATCCATTATATTATATCTGACATTCTGGATATTTATGTAGAATCTCAGTTATGTTGTGACCTACAAAATTAACCACGAACATATATTTCAAATGAATGTCATAATATGACCAACACCATCATATAAATTGTCTCTTTGTTCATCTGGCAGGTATAACTCAGATGCAACAGCCAATTAAAATGTAAAGATAATAATAAAAGGGTCAAGAGCCCAACTAAAGCAAACACTCACCTCCATAACGGTGACCTGAAAGTTAGGTTTTCTCCTTGTAATTCTGCTTTAGGTGTCTTCAATAATGCTCAATCATCACTCATATTAATCACTTAATTATCTCATTAACTCTAACACTGCCTCAGTGTTACTTTTAACACCCTGCTGGTGGTTCCCATATAAACACCGAGCAGTGTTAATTTAACACCAGGGAATTTACTGTGTGTTTTCCAGGGGTTTCTTAATTATAGGTGGCTTTCACACTAGCACTTTTGGTGAGCAGCCGGGTTCGAATGACGTCAGAGTTCGATTTGTTTGGATGATGTGAACGCAACCTCTGACATATATAGCAATTGTAAGTCGCTTTGGATAAAAGCGTCAGCTAAATGAATAAATGTAAACTCGGGTGTGCACCCGCGAGCCGTACTTGGGTCCGCTTAAAAAGGTGGTCTGGGGTACGGTTCATGTGAACTCCAATACGGTTCGCTGCTGATATGAATGCAATCGAACCAAACCGCGGAAGTGAACAGCTATTGATGATGCATAATGTGGTCGTATACATTTTGCGACAGACAGATGCAAGTGTGTCAAAAATTAGCGGAAGATAAGCTCGCTCTTACGCATCTGTGCCAGGGAAAAGAGTTCAGGCTCAGGATTTTTTTCTACCATCACCCCTGCGACTGGGGTCCACAATGGGCCAAGCTCTGTGACTGTCGGAGCTTGGCAATAGCGGTCTGCTACTTACAAAGGTTAATGGTAAATGGTACACGATCTAACTTCTGGCACTCTAGCATTTAATCAAACTGCACGTGTTTGTCAGGAGAACTGAAGCTGGAGCTACTTCTCTCTGTTTGTGTATATGACGAGTCAAGCAGGTTTTGTCTTCCTGCCAGGTCTAAAATTGTCTGCACATAAACACTTATGATAGGTGTACAATAGTGATTCAGTATAAGTGATAAGTTTGACAGATGGATTCATGATGTACTTGCTTATTAATTTTGAACAATTCATACCGTATTTTTGATAATGTAATGCTATGTAAACCTGACCACAACTGTAAGTTTCTCTTTCCCTCAACTGTGTTTGAGTGACGCAGTTTCACTGTAAGTTTGTTAAGTAGTTTCCACCTTCCTGGAGAACCACATTCCTGCAAGCTTCAACTGCAAGAAAACAAATTATCTACCAATGGAAGAAATATTTGGTGTCACATCACATCTCTCACAAATTCAGCATGTGACTCTTTTCACAAGACACTTTTTGACACTTTTCACAAGCTCTCATGTCACATCCATTTTCTCACGCAGAGAAAAATCTCGAGGCAAAGAGGACGCTGACACCGACAGACAAGGCAGAGCAGGTTACTTGTGATATGAAACAAATCTTCAGCACTCAGATTGTCAATTTTATTACGAAATTCAATTATTAAATACCATTTGATCGCTATAGTGCAAACGGCATGTGAACCGATCAATTCTTAACTTTACTACTAGTTAATAAATAAATTCCATTGAACAATACTTTAGATATGTTGAAAGATACAGTACAACTTACCGAAATAGGCATTCTGGTTGACTACCAACTGTACATTACCGCCGCAATAGCTGCTGAGGCAAAGTCACCATGGCAAAAATAAACCAGATGCGTGTAAATAAACCAGGTGGCGCAAAGGGACATTTTGCAAAACAACAGCAATTGCCACATTGGGAAACATAAGTGGGACTAATGTCAATTAACAGTAAGGATGAAATACTAAAACTACAAATAAGCCTACAACAAACATGAAAAATAAAAAAAAGAGCTATTGACGTTTGCTGTACAATAATGAAACAACCTTAGGTTTGGTGAAGTTGAAACTGCAATTAATAATTTTGTTATTAAATAAAGATAATTTGCTGAATGTTGTTTAAACAAACATAAATACGGATTATTATTTGAATGAACTATATATATCTCTGTAGGCTATCAGTTTATTTAAAAAAAACAACAACACACATTGCCCATTAGTTTAACAAAAATTGTAACATTGTGCATTTGTAAAACGA